CTCCACCTCCATGATCTCCAGCTTCTTCTTCTCCCAGCTAGAAGGGCCCCACGATCAACTGTCCAACCTCTCCGGCCTCCTACCGGTGAAAGGCAGGAACGGCGCCCCCACTGGGTTCCTAATGTAGAACCATTCCTCGTGCCACCCCCGATTGGAATCACAGGGGGTGTACGCGGGGTATGAGCCCGACGTGCTCCGTTTCTTCTACAGCGCGAAGCCCCCCATCGATGTGACCCTGAGCGGCTTCTCCTCTGACAATGCTCGCCCAGAGAACATCCACCTAAAGAAATCCACGTGCGGCTCCATCCTAAGGAAGGCCTCGCACACGGTGATGAATCCGGTGATGTGCAGCACCCTAGTCGGATTGAGGTGCTCCAGCTCCAGGCCCCATTCATTGAGAAGCCCGCATAGGAACCAGTGCACGGGGTATCCTAACCCGTGCTCATCGAAGGCAAGGAAGGAGACAACCTCGCTGTCCCAAGGTTGTGGGAAATCCTTCCCTGTAGGAGCCCTCCGGTGCGCCACCTCCTTCGGCGGCAGCACCCCCTTCTCAGCGAAGACCGCCAGCACCGACTCCCTCACAACGGATGACCTCCAGCTTCAGATTCGCAAATGGATTTGTGAGCTTTCTCCTCTCCCTTGCTCTCCCCTTTCTTTTTCTGAGAACCACCATGGCGCACGAACGCTCTCGGCAATAAGGAACAAGGAGGAGAGGCAGCAGATGGGGAATAGGTGAAGGAATGGGACAAAACCCCTCTCTCGTCCCCTATTTAAGGAGAAGGTGTAGCAGTTGGGGAAACGTGAGGGATTGGGGCGAAAAACCCTCTCCCTTCCCCTATTCAATGCAGATGGGAAATGATGGGATGCATCCTGAACCGATGGGATGCACCCTGCCCAACGGAACGATGCCTGGTCAGATGGGATGTGGCCTGGGTATGGCCCACCACTACCGCACGCGGGGCGTGAGAACAAGGCGCCACTGCATGCAGCCCTCTGCCTTCCCAAGTGGGACTTGGAAAGGCCCAACTATGAGATCTCCACCTAGGAGAAACCAACGGGCTTCCTGAGTCGATCGGATGGCTCAGGCAAACACTGAGAGGCAGGTAAGGAGCAAAGGGATGCCCCATGCGAGCCATGCCGACTCCATCATGAACGACGAGCGTGGATCCCGGTAGGACATATCCGATAGGAGCTCCTCAAACCCCGTCACTCGAGTCATCAAGGTAACATTGCCAACCCCCACTATTTCTTTATATGATCATTCATTCATACATTCATGCACGCATTCATCCCATACATCTAAAGCATCACATATGCAGTTAAATGCATCACAACGCTCTGTGTTGCGTCACGAAGCGACAGTTGCCTCATTCAACATGAGCAACGATCGACCAGGGTTCGAAGGCCAGCCCACGAAGGGCTCGAGGCCACCTCGCGTCAAACAAAGCTAGGGGAGAAAACGCAAATGAGCCCCGAGCGGCCCTCGCCCAGTCCGCTCCGAAGCAGACAAGGTCATCTCAACCTTCTTGTTCGATCCTAACCTCGAGCCATGCCCATAGAATCTCTATCGAGGGGAGGCTAGCAGGCCACCTGTGTTGGTCTCTGGAACGACCCAGGCATCTGCCAGGATGCGGGTTAAGGAGCAGTGGAATGCCACATGAGGGCTATGCCGACCCCATCACGAACGACGGACCCGGATTTCACTCGAATGTGCCCGTTAGCGAGCTCACCGAGCGCGTCACTTGAGCCATCGAGGCAAGCGACGTTAGCTCAGCCCCTTCGGTTGCGAGAAACCGCGGACAGGGTAACGCACGAAACTCAACCGACCTCTACCAAACCCAATGGGGCTCAAGGGCTCAAGACGCCCAATGCCTCGCCTACGCCTGGGTCCGTGACTCCGACTCGCCTGATTCCACGGCGTGCCCAACGCCTGGATCCATGACTCCGACTCACCCGATCCTCGGCACGCCCGATGCCTGGATCTATGACTTTGGCTTGCCCGATCCCTCATTGCTCCCAGTGCCTGGATCCACGACTCTGGCCCAACCGATCCCTCGTTACGCACAACGCCTACATCCAAATGCCTCGGCACGTCTGATGCCTGGATCCGTGACTCTGGCTTGCCTGATCCCTTGTTGCGCCCAGCACCTGGATCCACGACTTCGGCTCGCCTAATCCCTCATTGCGCACAACACCTACATCCAAGAGCCTCATCACGTCCGATGCCTGGATCCGTGACTTTGGCTCGCCCGATCCCTCATTGCACCCAACGCCTGGATCCATGACTCCAGCTCGTCCGATCCCTCGGCACGTCTGACGCCTGGATCCATGACTCCGACTCGTTCGATCCCTCGTTGCGCCCAGCGCTAGAATCCGTGAGTCCGCCTTGCCTGATCCCTCGGCTGTCCCTCGACCACGACCAAACGCCTGGAGCCACGCTCCTGGAAACGACAGGTCAGAAACTGGAAAGAAGAAGCTACGCCCACTAAGATGCACGCACACATGCCCGCTAACAAAATACCCCCAGGCGATTCTCCCTGAATCACCCGGGGGCTCGGGGGCTACCCCCATGGGTGGGCTCGCGCGCACCCGCTGTGAAAACAAAAAAAATTCTCCCGATGGCAACACGAACCCCCCTAGACGATTCTACCCAAATCACCCGGGGGCACGAGAGCTACACCCGCGGGTGCGCTCGCGCGCACCCGCCGTCAAGACAAAAAAACCCCAGATGATTCTACCCGAATCGCCCGAGGGCTCCTGTCGAGTTCATAAACCCGGGGTCCCTCATGGACCTACTTCCCAGCAAAAGCTCGGCCTAAGCAGACGATGTTGCAAAACAACGCGCAACTCCTGGGTTGGCCCAAAAACCTAATGATAGGCCATAAGGGCGATCCAATCTCCGTCCGAGAGGCCTGGTCAAAGAGGAACGACGCCCGCTTTCGACTCTGGCCCGCCTCTCCAACCAGAAGGCCTCGCTTCCGACTCCGGCCTACCTCTCCAATCGGAAGGCCTTGCTAAGGAGGAACAATGCTCGTCATTCAACTCTGGCCCACCTCTCCGACCAGAAGGCCTGGCCGAAGAGGAACAGCGCTTGCTTCCGACTCTGGCCCGCCTCTCCAACCGGAAGGCCTCGCTTCTAATTCCGGCCCGCCTCTCCGACCGGAAGGCCTCGCTTTCAACTCCGGCCCGCCTCTCCGACCGGAAGGCCTGGCCAACAACGCTTCTGACTCCGACCGGGAATACACCAAACCTTTGTTTATAGCTCTTCTCCGACTGGCGCAGTCAGAGCCGACTGGGACCAACCGACCTGGGACGCCTGCTCGGTGAGGACCAAGAAACGGGCGAAGCAAGTAAAGCAGGACGCTCAAAGTCAAAACTGCAAAACCAAGGACCATACCCTATACACCTGCAGGACAGTACCGACAGGACATGTCAGGAGGGTGCCCTGCAATCTTTCCAGGCATGTCAGAACCCAAGCAGTGTTGTGGGCGCCGACATTTGCCCAACAATGTTGTGGGCGTTGTTAATTCCCATACCATGGCAAACATGGTAAGGCTCCCTCTACATGCCTCTGGGCATCAACAGTGTTGTAGGCACCATCATTTGCCCTATATGGAGAACATGGTAAAAACCTTCCACATGCGTCTGACATTAACAGTGTTATGGGCGCCTACAATCATCTTGTACCCGACAGTATGGGCAACAAGACTTAGTAGCATAGGTACTCTCTCTCTTGCTTGTAAGGTCGTCCCCTTCATCTATAAAAAAGATGCGCTATCTCCCAACAGAGAGATCGATCAGTTGACAACTCAAACAACACACACGCGATCCAAACGACCAAGGATCCCAGCAAACAATAGACGTTCAAACACTTAGCGCACAGCGGAGCTCCCGTCACTCTCGGCCTTTCAGACCGGAGTCCGACCAAACCTCTTGCACCCCCATCTTTCTTCCTTCCATTTGTAACCCCACAGCAAACTTCGAGCATCTAGGCTCAGGAATAAAGTCACCGACCGACTCAAACTGGACGTAGAGCACGTTGCCTGAACCAGTATAAACCCTGTGTCATTGAGTGCTATGCCACATCCAATCACAACGTACGACAAAACTATAAATATTTACGTGTTTGTCACTTTCTGCACCGACACAATGAGTCGTCGATTTTTTCTTCTATTTGTTCGGTAGAACCAAAAATCATAACCGATTAAACTCAAACTGAACTTGTCAGTTTCTTGTTGTATGAACAGCCAACTGATTTTTGTAAACCGAAGTTTTCTAAAGCTAAACAAATTTAATCGATTTTAGGATTTTTTTTAGTTGATGGTTAGGTTAATTCATGGACCCTACTTTTTAGGCTTTTCAAAGTTAAGGAAATTCGTTTAAAGGGTATAGAAAAAGAATAGACTAATAAAAAAGAATCTAAATTAGTTTAGTAGAGGTGTTGATTTGACCGTTATAACAGGAAAAAGAGTCCAATATTATTTTGTTTTTTGAATTATAACTTTATGGTTCATTTAGTGTTCAGACAAAAAATTTGGTCATCTAGCACTGAACTAAGTCGTAAGTTGCAAAAAAAGAGACATTAAAAAAAATAAATGAATAAATTTTTTTAAAAAAATGAATAAATTTAGTAGAAAAGTACTTTATCAGATCCGAATCAATTTGTTGCTTATGTGGTTCCAAACCATGCCTGATAAAATAGAATGGAAGGAGCATTATTTATATTAGTAATTTTTTATATATTTAATTAATATAATATAAATTGAGATGGACTGATCGCTAGATGCGAGCGTTTATTTTGTTATCGGAGCGAGTATAACCAAGCAGACCCATGCTCCCCTTCCCGCGCTTTCTCCCGCCAATTTTTTGCGGCGGCGGGAACACATAGATAACGAAAAGGTACAAGCCCCTTCTTCTCAATTTCTAACACCAGCTCCCATTCCGAATCCGCGTCACCACAATTCTCTCCACAAACAAAGCCCCAAAGGGGAAGGGCCGCCATGAAAGGGCGCGTGGTGAAGCTCCGTGAGGCGCACAAGGCAGGCTCGCCGGCCCTCTGTTGCGCCTCCTGGGGGCCTAGCGGGCAACATGTCGTCACCGCTTCTGCTGCCGACACAGCCGTCCTGATCCACGACGCCGCCACGGTGCTCGCCGGCGGCCGGGGCTCGGGTTCGTCGCCGGTGGTTACTATCCGTCTCCACAAAGACGGCGTCACTGCACTCGCAGTCGCGCCGGGCCCCAGCGGCTCTCTGGCATCGGGATCCATGGACCACTCCATCAAGTTCTACACCTTCCCAGGTTCGTGGATCTCACTGCCCTGAGGCGTTTATTATATGATTGGATAAATTTTCTTCTATTTTCTTACTTTACACGGCCAGATCTGTGACATGTCTTCTGACCTCTGCAAGCAGAGGGGGAGTTCCAGAGCAATGTCGCCCGATTCACCCTGCCGATCCGATCACTCGCCTTTAACAGAAAAGGCACCCTGCTGGCGGCCGCAGGCGACGACGACGGCATCAAGCTGATCGCGACCATTGACAACACCATCTCGAAGGTGCTTAAGGGACACAAGGGCTCCGTCACTGGGCTGGCGTTCGACCCGAGGAACGATTACCTAGCATCCGTCGACAGCATCGGTACCGTCATCTATTGGGATCTTTGCATTGGTGCTGAGGCCCGTACTTTGACGCGTGTCGCTCCCACATTTCGGTCGGATAACTCGGTCAGGAATATTCTGTGCTGGAGCCCTGATGGTCAGACCCTTGCTGTGCCTGGGTTGAGGAAAAATGTGGTGCTGTATGATAGGGACACAGGGGAGGAGGTGTGCACGCTATATGGAGATCATGAACAACCAGTGAGCTGCCTTTGCTGGTCTCCCAATGGGAGATACCTGGCCAGTGCTGGCCTGGATAGGCAGGTGCTCATCTGGGATGTGAAGTCAAGGCAGGACATCGAGAGGCAGAAGTTTGACGTTAGGATATGCAGCTTGGCCTGGAAACCAAATGGAAATGCTTTACTTCTGATTGATGTCATGGGCAGGGTTGGCATTTGGGAATCAGTCATACCTTCGACTATGAAGTCACCTAATGAGGGCATACCTGATCTCAACTCTACTAAGGCTCCTCTATTTGACGATGATGACGATGACGATGACGAGGACGAGGAGAAGCCAAGTACCTCTGGTGGCTTGGAGGATGATATGGACGAAACTCTTAGTGATTCAACACCTTTCAGCCACAAGAGACCAAGGAGGAAGTCCACATTCGACAGAGATAGTGATAATGAGGATTTAACACATCAAATGGAATCGACCAAAAGAATGAAAGATAAGCATAATAAAAAAGAGGATGCTGGAAAGGCAAGAGGTGATTCTGCCACTTCAGCAAGGCTAGTTACTGCAAGAATGCAAGCTGCTTTCCAGCCTGGATCAACACCACCTCAGCCTGGCATGCGAAATTTCCTCGCATACAACATGCTTGGAAGTATTACTACTATTGAAAATGAGGGGCATTCACATGTGGAGGTAAGATCTGCTGTTACATGTTGCTTTGTAGCCGTATGTGCTCAGTTGATTGCAGCTTGAATGTGGATCAAGCCACTTGATGCTATTTCAGTTCCTCCTTATAGAGTGCAATAACCATTGTATTTACATTTTCCAGGTTGACTTCCATGACACAGGAAGAGGACCTAGAGTTCCTTCCATGACAGACTATTTTGGTTTCACAATGGCTGCAATGAATGGATCAGGAAGTGTGTTTGCAAATCAATGCAAGGGTGACAAGAATATGAGCACTCTAATGTACCGCCCTTTTGGTAGCTGGGCTGGTAACAGTGAGGTACGTTATTTGCATGTCACACTTAGGTAATACAAGTTCAACAAATTAAAATCTTGAAGTTTGTATTTGTTTACTAGTTATTGATGCATAATGTACTTTATATTCAAAATTAGTGGTCAATGAGATTTGAGGGGGAAGAAGTGAAGGCTGTGGCTCTTGGTGCTGGATGGGTTGCTGCAGTCACAAGCTTAAATTTTTTGCGCATTTTCACCGAAGGAGGCTTGCAGGTTATATTAAGTTTCCTCACGTCTACAATTGAAACCTTCTATATTTGTCTAGTTTTATTCTTGTCTGTGACATAGTGAAGATCATTTTGCTTAGAGCAAGCTGCTGCCATTTTTGTTCCCAGATACAAATGAACTATGTTATTAATTTCATGTTCACACCTTCCTACGTGTGCTCCCTAAGGCTGAAATTGTTATAGGTATTAAATTGTTGACAACATTTTTTTATACCACTCTTGATTCCCTCTCAAAGACCACAATCAAAAGGAAAGGAGAAACAAACACAAATTCATGTCCATTGATAATGCAAGCTGAGGACTATTTATGGTCTGGGTGGTATTCAATGTTCTGTTTTTCTTTGAGGACCGAAAAAGGAAATACAACTGCTGTAGACTCTTATAGAGAGGACTTTTAGTTTAGCAGATGTTGTCTATGTGAGGTGGCAAATGGTAATAGTTGTCTAAAATAGGGGGAAAGAGAAGTCCAATCAGTTTAAGAGTTTGAGTAAGGAAGTTTTATAAGATATGATAGAATCCAAGCTCAAGTTGAGGTCCATGTACTATTAGTTTTTTGTGAATGCGCCTTCGCGCGCTTTTCATTAAGAGGAGAAAACCGTAGTCAGAAGTTTGCAGGTATGCATTCTAGGAACGTGAGGGGCAGTGCATAGTAGGATTTAGTCATATAGACTATCTGGAGATGTGTAAAAGATAGACACAAGTAATGGAGAATGTTATGGCAGCCGCTAGGGTTGAGAGGGAGAGAGGGGGCCGGCCGGGGGCCTTGCCCACGGCTGAGCAAGAGAGAAGGCTTTTCCTTCTAATTCCTGCTTGATTAGATTGATACATCTCCTGCAAGGAGCTCCGGCTGTCTTTGCCGCCAGCCTGAGTAGCAACAAGAAGGCAGCAAGATGGCCGTGTAGCAACGGCGACCAGCGGAGGCGCCCCTGCGACGACCAGCGGAGGCACCCCTGTGGCGACCAGTGGCAGAATGTGGTGGCCCTTCGCGGGACATGGTTGCTGGTTGCCACACGCTTTCTCCCCACCGGAAGGTGACATCTCTGATACCAGATGTTATGGTGGCGGCTAGAGTTGAGAGGGAGAGAGGGGACCGATCGGGGGCCTTGCCCATGGCCGAGCAAGAGAGAAGACTTTTCCTTCTAATTCCTGCTTGATTAGATTGATACATCTCCTCTTCTTATATAGAGAGGCTTACTTGACCCCTAAGCAAGAAATCCTTATCTTTAATTAACCCTAACTCTAATGGGCTATATTGCCAACCCAGGCCTGATAGGCCCATGACATACGCCTCTAACAGAGAAACACATCTCCATATTTCCAGTTGCTATCGCCCTTCTTATTTCTAGTTTGTACAGTCGCTCCACATTTCTAAATGCAAGCAATGTAATCTGCTTATGAATTTGTTACAAGACAAAGCATGGATCTCTCCATGGATACCCTATCTCTTATACAAGACAGCAGAATCAAAACACTAATCAACCAATTTTTTTTGCAGATGCATATCCTCTCAGTCAGTGGCCCGGTTGTTACAGCAGCAGGTTATGAAGACCAGCTAGCTATTGTGTCACATGCTTCTGATTGTCTGCCCTCAGGAGATCAGGTATTTGTCAGGGTTTTAATTTGCTCTAGTGTTAAGCTTAACAGTGGCCTTATATACGTTGTGCCAAAGCTGCTGTATGGTTTTAAGTAGTGACCTATCCCTTTGGTGTTACGCATACTTTTCTGTGAGTAATGATGCTGTAATAACTAAGTATGTGTGACTGATACTGACAGGTGCTGGATGTTAAAGTATTCAACATATCTGAAGGGGCACAATCAATGTTTGGTCGTCTTGTTTTGACACCATTGTCTCAATTATCTTGGTTTGGATTCAGTGAGAATGGCCAACTTAGTTCATATGATTCCAAGGTTTGTATGACCTACAAGTACGTTAATGTTTAACATAGCTTCAGTGATATCAATATCAAGAATGTTTTAAATGAGCAACCAAATTTTCAGGGAATACTAAGGGTTTTTTCCAGTCAGTTCAGTGGAAGTTGGCTTCCATTATTTAGGTATTGAATATACTCTACTGGATAAACACATGTTATTGCTACAGCAAAGAAAATCACTCTATTTGATTTCAGTTCGTTGAAGGCAAGAAAATCCAAAGATGAAAGCCATTGGGTGGTCGGTTTGGATGCAAATAATGTATTCTGCATTTTATGCAAAACCCCTCAATCTTATCCACATGTATGATTTGTTTCTTTTCAGTTACTTTCATATTAGTGGAACTTCTGAAGTGTAGATAGTTCCAACAAATGGTTTTTTTCTCTGTTGGAAACTTGGACAAAGTTTCCTCACTACAAACTGGCCTGTCCCTTTGACTGCTTCTGATCTTAGGTGATGCCCAAGCCTGTGCTAAGCATACTTCATCTGTCATTTCCCCTTGCGTCATCAGACCTTGGGGCTAATAGTTTGGAAAATGAGTTCTTGATGAGGAAGCTACAGCTGTCACAGGTTCATACTGTTCCTTTTCAGTTCTGTACTGTGTTATATGTGTTCTGTTATCTGTTTATTAAAAATTGCAATTTATCTCAGATTCAAAATAAAATGGAAGAAATGGCTGCTTTGGGCCTTGACACCACCACATATGATGATGAAGCATTCAACATGGAGGCAGGACTTGACCAGTGCATTTTGAGGCTCATCTCTATCTGCTGCAGTGGTACCAGACTTGAACTAAAAGGATTTATGAATTTTGGTGTTGTATGAAATTTATAGTCTTCTTTTCTTGTTTTCCCAAAGGTGATAAGCTCGTTCGAGCTTCTGAGCTTGCAAAATTATTGACACTAGAGAAGTCAATGAAGGGAGCGCTAACACTAGTGACCCGCTTGAAACTTCCCTTGTTGCAAGAGAAGTTCAGTTCCATAATTGAGGTAAAGACCACAACCCTTAATTTCTACTTCGATTGAACCTATCTAATTTCTAGACTTGATTCATGTGCTTTTCTATGTAAGAAAAAGAACTGTGCGGAAACTTTTAGCCAGGATCAGTTTCAGCACAGGCTTGATTCAACTCTTTAATCAATTTGACAAACATACCTTCATGTAATCTGATCTTGTAGAAACACGTCAAGAGTGTACCAATCACAGAATATCTTGTCGTCCTCATGTTCCACCTCTAGGCAGTCCTTACAAGGTTCCATGGCTGCAAACTTGTACAGGAGTTCCATCCTCCTAGCGGCTGCCCTAGTGTTGGACCCGCCCTATAATTCCAAATCTCTTAATCTAGCAACCACCATACTAGGAATTTGTTATTGAAGTTAATCTATAAATTTTATCAGCCACACTTAATGTATAAATCTATGAATTTTATCAGCCACACTTAATGTAAAAATATTCTTACAGTCTTGAGCACCTTGTTCAATTGATGATTGTAGAGTTTCCTGTTTCAGGAGAGGATGTTAAACAATAAAATAATAGCTGGGACAGGAAGATTTTGCTCCAATGCTACAATCATGACGAGCACAACAGTGCTGACCACTCAGGCAACTCTACCTTCTAAGTTTATGCAAGATGGGAACAGTTCGCTGGAATCTTCATTACCCAAACCGAATCTTGTCAATCAACAATGCAGTTCAACTGAACCAAAGAATTCAGCAGGAGAACAAGGGATTGAAATTAAGGATAGCACTGGAAAAGTTTCATCTGCTTTTATTCCATCTACCAAGGTACCTAAAAGCAGCGAAACAAAGAAACACAGAAATGGAGCATCCAATTCAGCTGTAGTCGACCAGAATCAGGAAGGAGACATTGATCACACTGGTGCAAAAAAATTGAGCACTGAATACTGCAATCGAGCAGAGCCTCAGCGGCCAGTTAACCCTTTTGCAAAATCATCTTCCAGTAAAGAACAGTCATCATCCCTTTTGGATTCCATAAAAAAAATGAAAGTTGACAAACCCAATAGTAGAATTTGAAAAATAATTGTTCTCATTTATGTCATGGCCTGTAGGAGGGGAACCAACTGTTAGGCATCCACTGACATCTGCAGTATCCAGTTTGCTTCTGATGGCATATGTAATAACCATTCACTTTCTAAATTTGTTTCTTGATGGTTTGGTGGATTACTGCCGTTGGGATAGAACACTGTTCCAGCTGGTTTGTTGTGAGAGAAAAACACTATTTCGGCTAAAAAAACAAGCTGAAAAAGACGGATTATAAAAGAAGCAAACATGGCCATTATTGTGATGTATTCCCCCTGTTTATGAAATTGGTTCATTTGTGAATTGCTTTGTCATATAATATTGCTTCTGGTCTTATCACCTCTAATGCTTGTATGCCTTGCAGTAGGGATGAAAACGGATCGGATACGGACGGATATCATCGATATTATATTTGTTTTTATATTTCTGTCCGGATTCGGATTCGAATGTGGATAGTGTCAACCATGCCAGATATGATACGACTGGATATCGACATCATAAATATGCGATTTGAGTATTTGGATACGGATACGGTATTGGATGTTGAATATCCGGACTCGAATACTGACAGATTTGAACCCCTATAAACGAATTCGGTCTTGAATACAGTCGGAAAATATCCGTACCGTTTTCATTCCTACTTGTAGGTATGTAAGGCTTCGTATCAAATTGACTCTTGAACTCCCCCCCCCACTAGGTGTTCCCTGAGCCTCTTCACAATATATTTGTCATGACCCGACGGTGTTCCAACCGAGACTTTTTAAACATGTCCCTTGAACTCACCAAACCCCTCTTGAACCTTGGCCTGAGCTGTTGGACTTTCTCATCACATGTTTGGAACCCGGACTTTAACCATCTAGAGACTCGAAACCATAGCCCTAGTTCAATCCCTTTGGTGGTCAGGACCGACTTCATCAACCCCTATGGTAACCCTTTACCTATGCTCTCTAGGACAACGACTCCAAATTCGCTTATCAACTCTCTAATCTCTAATCAAGCTAAGTCAACTAGTGTTAACCCTGGTCAACTCTATAGTTGACTTAATGAAATTATTCATGATATCATTCAAGAAGTGCTCTATAACTCTCAGAGGTTTATACCAACTTACTAGATGAAATTTAAAACCCCCAATATCGATCTTTTTTCTCTAAATCCAAAATCTTAAATTCAGTGTTCTGTCGGACCGTCCGGTTTCCTAACGGACCATTAGCAAGATCATTTTTAGTAGAATCAGTTTGGGTGAGCTATCTCTCTCTCCCCCACCTTGGCCCCACATTTTCGAAACGGAGATAACCTAGCTGCTGGTTCAGCCCTCCTACGCCCACTCCACTCCCTCTCCATTCTCCCTCTCTCCTCAAAACAAGAACTCAAGAACAAAGTTTCAAAAAAAAAGAACTCAAGAATAAGGAAGAACTCGAGAGAAAGAAAGAAAAGAGAAGAAAAGGAAGAGAAAGAAAAGAAGATCAAGGAGTAACCAAGATTCATCATCTCAAGGAGGAAATGCACATAATCACCTCCAATCTCCATTCTTGGGTGAGCTCAAAAATCCCCTCTCCATTCTTCTTGAAATCTCCACTCAAACCCTAACTGTTGCCTTCTCCATGCATGGATGGAAGATGAAGGTTTCTAGATGCTCCATTACCTCAAGTGTAAACTCAGTGTCCTCTCTTCATCAATCATCTCATGCATCTCTCCAATTTCTCTTAGAATTTCTATGATTTTTACAAGAAAATCATGAGAAGGCTCCAATCCTTCCTTCTCAAAGCAAGGAAGAGCAAGAACTAGGCGCAAGCCCAGCTTCTTGTGGCATTCTATGCTTCCTCTGTCAAGCCGACGAAGCTGTGGAGAACCTTCAGTAGTACTGAAGCCGGCTCGGCATAAATCAAATTGAGCCATCTAACCTCCCCGTCCGTCGCGTCAAGGTTGGCTAGGTCTGGCCGCACCCTTGCATCGGTGGTTGCTCAGGTCTGTGTCACTGGTGTTTGTGTTTTTGGACAAGGGACTAAAGTTTAGGTGTCACATCGGGTGTTCGGATATTAATAATAAAATTAATTATAGAAGCCATGACTAATTTGTGGAATCTATTAAGTCTAATCAATACATTATTAGCAATGTTTACTGTAGCACCATATTATCAAAGCATGGATTAATTAGTCTTAATAAATTCGTCTCACAGATTAGTCTTAATCTGTATAATTAGTTTTATAATTAGTCTATGTTTAATACTTTAAATAGTGCCAACCTTAATGTGACAGTGACTAAATTTCGTGGACACTATGCATTATTGATCTACAGCTTACAATTTCAAGGATTAAGATAAGTGTTTTCCGAGCTCACACACACAAGCACGAACCCAGTAGAAAGCTAGAGTTTTTTTATCTTACATACCTGTATCAAAGTTAGGGCCTGTTTAGATTATTGGAATTGAATTCATTCTAATATTTACAATTTACACATAGAATAATTAAGCTAAATAGTTGTATGTGTAATATATTTATATATTTATTGTTAGGTATACAAGAAACATATTTATATGTTGTATTTTTATTGTAGAGAAGTGAGTTGAAGAGTATGTTATAAGTTGAAGAGTATAATTATAGCATAGTGATTTATAGAATCAATTTCCATCTCTCACCCTATAAATTTGAGATAGCCTTATTTGTAAGTTTGGAAAAGTTATGAAATGTTAAATTCTAAGCCAAATAGCCTAATCTATTAAGTAGATTTTAATTCCTCCAGAAATAAAGGGATCCAAACGGCCCCTTAAGAAAAATGTACAAAGATTCCTAGAAATACAGGTACGTCAAAGGACAACTGTCTCAATCTATTTGCACACAAGGACTTAGGAAAGAAAAACTTACAAGCATGCCCCTGGACCCTGAGCTCACTACCACATGCATAGGGCGCCGCCGATTGTCGCTGGGAGCCGACACAACCAGATGCCACCTTCCCCAAGTTCAAGAGAGCTCCATAGCACAAAAGCTTTGCAAAAGAGCCAAAGTCGACACTTTGTAGGAGACCGTGACGCCTAAGAGGGAGGGGCGGGGGTGAATTAGGCAACTTAAAACTCTAACTCTAAACTATGGTCTCTTTTTCTAACCTTAGCAAAACCTATGCAAAAGATGAACTATCTAAATGTGCAACTACGGTTTTGCTAGTGTGTTACTATCTCTACCACAAAAAGAGTAATGCAATCAATGTAAATGCGGAAGCTAAAGAGCAATATAGAGATATACAAACTCCCGTCGACGACTCCGGTATTTTTACCGAGGTAACGAGAAGCACGCAAGCTTCTTCCTAGTCCTCGTTGGAGCCCCTCGCAAGGAATCCCTCGCAAGGGCCAAGCTCCCGGTCAGGTAACTCCGTGGATAGCCTCGGGCCTTTTCCACGTGCAAGTGGGTCTCCGACGTGCCTTCCGGTAAGCCTCTCCCGAATGCTCCCCGCCGTCTTCACTATCAAGCTTTCGGCCGAAACGCCGTGGACCTTGTTCCCTCCGGTACACGGTGGCGGCCACACCACAAACGCGGTTGGTGTGATCTCGCAAGACTTCAAGCCCCTCCGATGTACAACAATATTGCGCGCAAGCACCGAGTGGTAAGAGGTATGCAAACCTCACTAAACACTAGGCCTAAACCTAGAGCAAGCGCATAAGCGGTGGTCTAATCAATCTAAGCACTTCGCAAAGCACCTACGCTAATAATCTAATGAATCACTAAGCACTATGTAAGTGGAGATCACTAAAATAGTGTATCAACACCCTTGATATGTTTCCTCAGCTCCACTCTTATCAAATGGCTGGTTGGGAGGTCTATTTATAAGCCCCACCGAGAAAGTAGCCGTTGGGACGAAATCCCGCTTTTCTGCTACTAACCGGACGCTGATCACGTCCTGACCGGACGCGTCCGGTCGTCCCGACCGTTGGAGCCGCGATCAACTGATTGGACGCTGCCAGCGTCCGGTCACATTCCACCGGACGCGTCCGGTCGCATTTTCGCCGCTCTGGAACCTCTCTGTACTCGACCGAACTCTGCTGTCCTGCGTCCGGTCGATTTTGCTGCCAGCGTCCGGTCCAGCGTCCGGTCGCTGCTACCGACGCCTGTTTGCCGAGCCTCTTGATCGGAGCGTCCGATCACTTTCCTCCAGCGTCCGGTCACCTCTATGAGCTCGTTTCTTTGCGATCTTGCGTACGGCTTGGTTCTATTTTCGTACTTGGACTTTCCTTAGTATCTTGGGTCTTCTTTTGTGCTTCTAGAGTCTTGCTTATGGTGTTGATCATCGGATCATCACGTCGTCTTTGTCCAAGTCACGTCTTGCACCCTATTGAACTACAAAACAAACACTTGTAAATTCTTTAGTCCAATTTGGTTATGTTGGTCATCAAACAATAAAATCCAAAGTAAATGGGCCTAGGATCCATTTTCCTTGCAATCTCCCTATTTTTTGTGATCGATGACAACACGACCAAAGCAAGCAAATAATAGAATTTTGAAATTTTAAAATTACCTACTTGCTAGGATGCAATGCAAGGGGCAAGGTTATATGATGCTAAAAGATACTACATGTAAAACTAAAAGATACTACATAAAAACTTATCTTGCCCTTACAAAAGTCCCCATGTGGCATTATGGATTTAAGCCTTGCTTCCTACAAATTCTCCCCATTACATAGGCAATCCATAATCCATTATCCTCTCTTTCTCGGACCATTATCACTTGTAGACACCACTTGTAGGCCATTATCACTTGTAAATTAGCTTTTGGTCCTATAAATTAGTGCTTGCTTTTGGTCCTCTAAATTGTCCATTTTCCTTACACACTCAGTCCCAAAGAATGAGATGAGCTGAACGCCCATCGACCGGGGCCGCGCCCCGAGAACCCTCGCCCTTAGATTGGAGACCACCGCCACGGGAAAAATGATCTCGATCCGCCCTCCATGTCACCCCAAAACCCAAAGCTCCCTCTCTATCCTTGAAAAAGAAAGCCGGCACCCACCTT